TGTGTTTGTTACTGTGATTGTTTTATTTATAAACTTTTCAACCTCCTTTAAAACAAAGGCCTTTAGTATATGTTTGTTTTTGCAGCAAGAATGATGTTTTTAAAATATTTGTTTTGCTTTGATGTCACAGAAGAATTTTAAAAAATAAATAATATTATTTTGATATATTTTTAAGTAAAATTATTTTAAAAAATAATAATTATTATATTTAAACCTTTTAATTTAACAAATAAAACCGAAACCACCTATCATATAAGAGTATTTTAGAAGATCAATTAAGTTAAACATTAACCATTAACAAATAAGTTCCTTTTAAGTAGGTAATTAATTCATTGATTTGTTCTGTTTAAGCACTTATTTAATGAGTAATTGCTTTTTAAAATATTTTTTATTTGAAAATATATTAAAATAATAGTTTTTTTATTTTTAAAAATTATTTTTAATATTAACAAATAAAAATAATTTGAAAATATAGAAAAAAAAAATAAAAATTTAAGTTTAAATGAAATGCTATTTGGAATGTAATTTTAGACGAGTCACCATCTTGAACAAATTCGATGTCTTTTCATTATCTCATCTTGCATTTCCCTCTTTTGGGAGCCATGATATTTCGTCTTACAATATTGAATAAAATAAAAGCTAAACTCGGCACTGACGCCTAAAAGTGCTTTTAATGTTGAAAAATGTTTTTTTCCCCATGATTTTGAATGATGATGTCTTTCTTATCATAATGTTTTTTTGTTGTTGGCTGCTTTCTTTTTACTGTATCTGGGCACTCCATGTCTAGGAATCCAAAGATGGACGTTTTTAATTGGAATATGAGCACGATTTATTCCAGCTTTAAAATGACTGGTTGTGCTCCTATTTTTCTCGTTTTATTAAATGTGATTTCGTAATTAATCCTGTAAATAATATCACATCACCACCACCACCTTTTTCGTGGTGATAGGTCAAGTGAGACTCAAGTTTAACCCCACAAATATAACTGCTCATCTTTTAATCGTAGTTATTAAACCATTAATGGTATAGTAGGTGGAGTTGGTGACTTACTAATTTGGAGCTTAACATAGCTATAATTATTTTTTTTTGAATTAATTCATCAAATCTTTGGTAACTTGATAAAACCCACGTGAGACCTTGAAAGGTTAATTTCAATTTTTATTTTTTTTAATTTTCTTTATAAAAAATAATGTCATTTCATCTTCTTTTTAAATTTTATTCAAAATAAAGTCCTTATTTACTATTTTAGAATGGATTTGGGTTAATCGGTAAACCCATATATTAACTCGGTACACCTTTTAAATTGGATCAAGCCCTAAACTAGTTTTAATAACTATAATTTTAATAATCAGCTTGAATTCTTTTTTCCTCGTTGTAACTGCAACTTTTATTGTTTCCATCTGCTGTAGAAACCAACCCAACCAGCATGTTGATTTTCATGTTTCTTTTTTTATATATTAAGATAAGTGTTTGTGGTAGTTTACGAACGTCTTAATTAATTTTACGGATTATAAAATTAAATTTTCACGCAGTTTTTTCTTTTCACCGGTGGAAGTATGGAACCCGCAAGAGCACAAAGATTTTCACTGTCTATGGTATCCATGCTGTTATACTAAATTTTGAACTCTATTCAACATGCTGATTTGCTAGCAGGGTCCCTTGCGCCTCTCCAATTCTGCACTCCTTCACGGTTTGTTCATAGAACAACAAAATCAAGAACCATAGAACAACCAAATCCTCTATTTAGCAAAAAAAAAAAAAAAAAGATGAACCAAATCTGACCAGTAATGATTTCTCAAAGAGTAACGAGGACAAACAGGAAATATTTGGAGTGTTTGTCCATATGATATTGGCTCCATCGACACTATCCAATGGATTGTATTTCCTAAAAAGGGAGGAGATCTTCGTCTTTAAAACTTTCTGCCTGGTCGATGATCTTTGCTGGCCAAGCTCACCAAAAATATGTATACCGAGAGGGGAGAAACCTTTAATGGCCCGATCCAAGAGAAGGGTAGGATCATGGACCAGTTGCCTGGCCATAATTTTCTCGTATCCCTCTTACCTCCTTCATGTTTTATAAGCTTTTCATGAGAGTAGTCATGTATAATCAATCAAGGTGACTTGCTTCAGATGTTATTTTTCAGATATGTTTTATGGATGTTTAAAAAGAATGTTTTATGGATGTTTAAAAAGAATATGGTGGGTAAGTTCTAGTGAATAATATAAATTTCAGATGTTATTTAAGATTTTAAATTTTTATATTAAAATAATTATTTGATATTATATCAACAGTAAACTAAATTGATTACAAATTTTAATTTTATCATTTTTATTTTAATTAATAAAATTAATAGCTCAAAAAAATTTGAGTTTATGCAAATTTGAAATATAAAATGCTTTCACCTGAGGTATGTATTAAACAATAATATAAATTTTATAATATTTAAATTATATTTATTAAATATCTATAGTATAAAAAAGATAAAAAACAATATGAAATAAAAATAATATTTTTCAAGAACCCACATCTTTGATTTTTTTGCAAGTATATTAATAAATTTCATAATGTTTAAACTATAATTATTAACTTAAATATTTACATAAATACAATAAAAAAATAAAAAAAATAATTTTTTTAAGAACATACTTATTTGATTTTTTCATATTTATTTTCCTTTTATCTATATTTTAATTTGATACAATCTTTAAAACTTAGGTTTCTTCATTTCTTATGAATTTTTGCAAGTGCAGGTGTAATTTTGAAGAACTGTAAGGACCTTGACAATTTCACTGCTAAAATCACAGAGGGATATAACTCATTAAAATTCAAAAGTATAGGGACAAAACGTCCCATTTACATTATCGTATCCAAAACCAATTTAAAACCACGTGTCTTAGAAGAGTACGTGTCGCTCATGCATTGCCCTTCACGAAATACGTTTAACTGAAAACGCCAGCTCAAGGTGGGCCAGCCACAAGCACCAGGCCAGGCCTCTCTCATTACTATTATTATTATCATGATCACAACGCCGCACAACCAATCAGCAATCATTCACCGTTCATTTTGATGGCAGGCCAAAAACATACGATGTCGGCAGATTCTGAATTTCAGAAAACACCCTTATATTGACACCTGTTGTGTTTCAGAAGCAAACTCACAAAGATTCTCATCAACCGAGACACACCAAATAATCCCTCTAAATATCGTGCTCTCTCCTCTCAGTCTCGAAGACCCCAACAAAAGAAAGGCTCGGATCAGCGACCCGCGCAGCGGCTCCAGTTTTTTCACTCGAAATGATTGCTGGTGATGAAATTCTAAAAACCTAGGCAGGTTGCTGCTGAAAAGTCAATCGATATCATTAATCACGACGCGAAGTGTTTTGCTGTTTACGAATTCCTTTCAAATTTGAGAAACAGAAATGCTAGGGGATGGCGGAGAGACTCCTTCCAGGTCCTGCAGATTCTGTTACTTAATCAGGTTAAAATTTTAGGTTTAATTTGTGCGTGATATTTGATTATGGAAATTGTTGTTTAATTGATAGGTTTGAGTTGTTGTCTATGGTGAAGAAACACTCTAAGTTGCTAGGGAAAACTACAGTGGAAGATGAAGAGGAAGATGCAGCAGATGTTGAAATGGACTCTCGGTTTTGGCATGATGTGTTGGATTTGTATTTTATTCGTGGTAAAGAATCAAGGAGAAAGCAGGATGATGATCTCGTCTTTTTCGTTAGAAAAAGGGTGAAGCATTGTTTATTTGTAGTGGCAATTATCTAGTTTCGCTTTAATGTTGATTTTCGATTTCGCACTAATTTTGTTTAATTATATTGGTGTAGAGCACGCAAGGATATGGTTTCAATGATAGTGTAGAGAGTGCTGCTCCTTACTTTGTACGCAGGTGGGCACCTAAGGTAAAGAGCGGCGTAAATTTGTGCTTTGGATTGATTTTGTGATAATATTTGCTTGAGGGAAAACCGGCATGTTGATTGCTTGTGGCTTTCCTCCCACAGCATGATGGAAAGATAATGTGGGAGTTTATGCAATTGTGAATATAAAACTCTGGTTATAGTTGAAGAAACTTGAGCTAGACTGTGGTTTGGTGTCTTTTTTTTTTTTATGTTTACGTATATAGTAGTTACATGTGGCCTTTTTGTATTTGGAATTGATTTTGCTAAGGTGCTCATTATCTTCAGTTTTGTCTACTAGATGGATAATTTAGTTAGTGAAAGTTCAGCGGAGGTGGATTGGAGGCGCTCATTTTACTTGAATTTGATTGCACATACATCATACACAGTAACTGTGGCCATTTGCAGGTATTTTGTTTCTCATGTCATAACTTTACCTTAATATATTACGTATACTACTTGCCATACTGCTGAAAATTGCTCTGGAACTGAAGAATTTTTTTGAAATTCATGGTTTTCACCTGCTTAAAAAGGCCCATGACTTATAAAAATAGGATATTGTATTAATCCTAAAATGGAAAGGTTTATTTCTTTTAGCCATGAAAGAACTTTGTGATTGTGAATTCTTGTTTATTGTTTTCGTTTTCAGTCAACAAGTCCTTCGGAATCATCAAGCTGGGCAAGATACACAGTTGTCTCCTATATATAAGGTACTTCCAGTTTTTATATAGCATGATTGTTTCTTTTTGTTAGTTTGTGAACTTCTTATCCATAGGGAGAATTTAACTCTCTCTCTGCAGGTTGTAAAGACTGTTTATGCATCTCCAAGTCGTGTATATTTTCATTTGGACTCAAAAAAGGTATGCTCATTTGCTGTTAATAAGTCATCCTCTTAATTCATCCTTTGTCTTCAATTCTCACCTGACATGATCTCTGATGCATTTATAGGAAGTAGAGACAACGCCTGCATATCCAGATATCTGTTTTGCAGTTGATGATTTTGACTCCACTTTTGATGCAGTGGTACAGTGCTTATCTTATGACCGTTGTACTTTTTAATGTGTTGTTTTACAAGGTCAACAATTTACTTTTTTTTTAATTTTATTGATGTTTTTCTCACGACAAGGTGTGCTGTGTATGTCAATATGCATGGATGTCAGATGGAAATTTTTAAATAAAGGGGAGCAGAATAAAATTTGATCTGTGTCACTTAAATATGTCAACACCTTGTTGATCTGTATCACTTAAATTATAAAATTTGATATGTATCACTTAAATTATAAAATTTGAGCTGTATCACTTAAATTTGATCGAGTTATACCCTTACCAAGAATGAATTTTCCATATGAAGAGCATAAATTATTCAGCATGTTGCACTGAGGAAAAGAAATGATATAAAATGCTTCATATCTAGGACACACATATTCACAATCTTTTAGTTATTTAAACTTTGTCAAATCATTGTTACTTTTCTTATAATTTTACTATCATCAGGTATTGACAGAAAGAGACCACTGCTATTGTGTACTTCTCAATGCACATGATGGGGCGGCATTTCCTAGTGACAAAGAGTTGCATGATGGCAGTTCTAGCAGTAATTTTTCTCAGAAAAATGATACTAGTTCTGGGAAGGAAAAGAATTCCAAGGTTTGTGCTTGTTTCACCCAACACGTGAAACTTCCTTGTTTGAGCTCTTTGATATACCATGAACTCCCACTTGCTGAGCTATTCTGATTTGAAGAGGCTTTAATTTGCTTGAAATTCTCTGACACTTTGATACATCTCTTGGACTAGCTTGCCTTAGATCAAAGTGGTTTCTGGTGTCATATATCATTCTCTCCTTACATGGAGAGCTTTGGAATTTTATTAGAAAACTTTTACAGAACCTTAGATTCCAACTGCTAGGATTGAACTACTGTAGATGCCATGGGTAGCTATGGAAAATCCATGTTAAACTTGCCAGTTTAGTTGACCGTGAGCATACATTTTCCAAATTGCAATATCTCTAAATGCACAAATGCATTGATGATTTATTGCAGGGTATTATGATTTCTTTTTTCACCCTCCTGTGTTGTCTCTACTTGGTTTTATATGCTGAGATAGAGATGAACATGAAAAGAAACTATTCTTATTTCTATGTACAATTCATTCAGTTCCTTATCTAATTGGAGCCATTATAATGATTTCAGCTCACACTTTTCTCCGGATTTGTAAGCTATCAAATGGTTCGAGAAGCATATGATGGTATATCTCCAATAAATTACTCAAAAATGGTTCTGCTTTCTTTCTGTTGTTTCATCAGAAGTAAATCTTAGGTGACTTTCAGTTAGAATGATATGAAGTTATCTCTTCTCTATCTGGATTATTAGTTTCACTTGTTATTTCTGCAGGAAAGCTTTTGTGTGAAGCACATGAAGTCATGACTTACTTTGAGATTGAAATTGCTTTTGTTGCCTGACATATGTAACTTGTAGTTTATCTGTGCTTTTATTATTGTGAGCCAAAAAATATCCTTTAGTCTCAAATGGAGGTAAGCATGCTGAATACTCATTATAGCAATTGAAGATTTTCTGATTTGCAATATGCAAACCTTGTTTTAATTTTCCTAGACAGAATAACAATTTTCTTCTTGGGACTCTGGGCATAAATTCTAAACACTTAACGTTAATTCATTCTTTATCTACTTCTGACTAAATTCATTTGGCTGCTTCAACAGCAGATGAATACTTGTACTAATGGTTTATCAGAATCAACAAAGAGGGTGCATCCATCCCAAATATTTCAAATAGGCACTATTATGTTAGCGAACTATCTTTTCTATCCAGCTCTTGATGCCTTACACGTTTTTCTATTTTGTTGGTATTGTCCTTAGCTTTCAGCTGTTTTCTAGTACAATTGTTTGTTTGGGCGCCTGGGGTTAAATTCTTTTTGAGCAAGTGTTCTCACATGTTCTTGTTACACTTGTGGTTTCTCTCGTTCTGAAGTTGACTTTGTTACTCAATTGTTCTGGTCTCTGGTTATTATCAAACTATTGCAACTATGATCTCTGTCCTGTGGTAAAAAAGAATTTTTTTTATTTGCAAAAAGAATTTTATTGTTACCAGTTTCTGAACTTCGAGGCATCTTGCAGAGACATCAGAAACTGAAATGCCAACAATTTTCTTTACTCATTGAGCTCTCTTGTCTCTCTTCCAACAGCTGGCAAGTCTCGATTTGGGAGTCTTCTTGGTCAATCCCCTGGAAAAACAGACAGACTTTACATGAAAGGTCCAGGAGGACGTGGGGAAGTTGAAGTAGCTGTTTCTGGTGTTGCAGGTAAAAGGGGAATCCTTTACTTCCTAATATCTTGATCTCTTTCAGTGTATTTTTTTTTTTTTTTGTCTTTTGAGGGTTGGGGGTCTATTCGTTTCCCACCTCCCCCACCTTCTGTGGTTTTGGGTTTAAGACTCCTAATTGTTTTGCAAAAGTGCCATTGTTCTTTATTAGTTGATTTGATATGTGAATAGCATGCACAATGATTTCCATTCTACTGAATTGAGTTTTCATGTTATCAGATCAAAGCCAGCAGGATGTTGGCCCTTTTTCACCTGTTACTTCAAAGAAAGGGTTCGGGATTGGCTCAGTTTTTCGAAAAGCAGCATCTGTTGCATCTGTGGCAGCAAAGCATGCCTTTGCAGCTGCTTCTTCCTCCATATCTTCAGATGACGAGATGTTACCCCTCAAATGCTGCTTAATGTCCATATCATTGCCCTGGGAATATATCGCTTATGATCTTTTGTTCAAGGTAAAATCAATGTTTTTGCTATTTGTTCCTCAATGAAAGATGAGTTTGTTTTCGGAATTTGGATAGTGGTATTGGATTCGTCTTTAGGTAGATACTAGAAGCTTCTTTGTTTCTATCTTTCCTGTGTTGCAACTAGCGTGCCAATTGGTAGGGTTAAACTCTGTTTTGGTTATTGAGGATATGGACATTAATTTTCCGTTGCCCTTTTGGTGGGAGTTGATATTGATTTCCTTGCGTTTGCAAAAGATTGCTAATTTTTTCACTAACTGCAATCTCAGGGAAGTCCTCCTGTGAACATGTAAATATACATCATGGTTATCGCGAAACAGCCGAAAGATGTCGCCGGCTAGAGGAAAGTGTGGGATAAAACAACTTTTGGACGTTAGTCGGAGTTATCACTCGTGCCTGTACTTTGACGGAACCATGTAATTGTAGGTGTACGTGAAAATTCTTTCTTTGCATTTTTTTCTATTAAGTCGTGTTATAGGGCTGAATTTGGAATGTTGTAATATTGTAATAATTAATAACCTTGACAAATGTCAGTGTCAGTTGTTGGTTTTCACTTTCAAAATTCAACAGGCCTTTTATCAGCCCTTGCCAGGGTCTGGCCTGGTCGTGATCCAATCTTGAAACGTCGTTTTAGATTATTTTTTTTTAATAAAAACTGAAAAAACCTGAGTTTGATCCGGTCGAAGTCACTAGATTTAGCTGGATTGTTTAACTTCATCTGGGTCAATTGCTAGTTTGGTTCAATGACCAACTCAACTTGAGTAAGTGGTCCAATCACTTAAACGAATTTCTTTTGTTAGATGAATTTGATGTCATAATCATGATATTGCATTAAAAAAACTGAAGAAGGTGGTTGATTCACTGATTTTTTAGACATTTTACCGTGGATAGTAGGAATAGTGAATTTACCTTCTTTCCTTAAAAAAGAAGAAGAAGCTTTGGGCTAATGGTTGAGGGAATGGATGTTTTTGCAATTGGGGTATTTTGATATTTTTAAATTGATTGAGGTAGTATTTGTCTTTTAAATTTCATAAAAAAATATTATTTAAATTGCACAAAACATTATTATAAATATTCTTAAGATTAATGTATTAAGATTAATGTATTGGTGGGTGTTATTAAAGAGTAGATTTGTATTTGTAATTAATTATAAAACATGCAATAAAACAGTTAATTTGCTCTTGTATACCAAAATACTTTGATTGGTTAAGAGGGGTATTTTGGCTCTATCCTTTTTATTCATACAGTTAAAATACTTCCTTGTTTTCAAGGGTTTAATATTTTTATGTCAAGATTTGAGGGTATTTTTATTATTGTATCATTGATTTTTTTTTTTTCATATAAGGTAAGGTGATAATTTTTTTCATATAAGGTAAAATGGTAAAGGAAAGGTAGTTTTGTTAAAGAAATTTTAAATTTTTTTGATGATTCATGTTGGACACGTGTTTGTGTATCAACCGCTGTATTGTTTTTGAATGGCTTGTCTAACTGGTTCTTGTAATAAAAAATATAATTTTAAAATATTTTTAGATCCATCTTGATATTTTTTTTTTACAAATGTAGAAAATAAAACTTTGATTTGGTTTTGGTGGTCTTTTTTCTCCTTTTCTTTCCTCTCTTTCTTGATTTTTGTTTTAATTTTATCCTTATTTAATTTTTTTACTTCTTTTTATTTTCAATTTAGTCCTTGGTCTTTTGGTTAATATTTTTTTTATTTGAAATAAATTATGAAAATCAAAATTTATTTCAATTTTATCCCCATTTGATTTACAATTTTCTAATTCGTTCCTCGTTTTTTTTAATTGTTATTTATGTCATTTAAGATAATTTTTATAATGTATTTTTTTGGCAATTTCACCTTTGATTATTTTTTTCCTATCAATTTTTTTTCTTATTCTTTTGCTCTTGCAAATTTTTTAGTTTGGTACACTTAATTTTATTTTTTAATATTAAACTGATTTGGATTTGATTTTTTTAATTAAGTTTATTTGAAATTTCACGGGTTACAGTTTGAAAAATTAACCTAATTTAAAGATATTTGTTAGGGGTTGTTTTGATTTTTTTTTATTTGGTAGGGTTGTATGACGTCTTTTTATTTTTTATTAAATATATTTTCTAAAAATAATTTTTTCTTTGATTAAATAAAATTAATTGATTGAATATAAATAAATATCACTTCATTATATTTTGTTTGATTTGCTATTTTAAGACAGTGATCTAAAAAAACAATTTACTTCTTTTAATAGAGAAGCAATTTACCTTTTTTTATGTCGTTTTATATCATTTTATAATGAAGTTTTAACCATCTTAACAAATTCTTTTAGAGTAAGGTGGGTCTCCAACAATCTTATTTTTTTCTCTTTACAAACATGATATCAATGATTTATTTTTTTAGTTAATTATTGCTAGGTGTTTTGTTTACTATTCACTTGCTATTGGTACCTTAATTTAATTTAAATTATTCAATTAATAGATCTTATTAGATATTGTCATGTTAATGATTCAAGTGTCAAGTTTTTATTATTCCTTTATAAATATCATCTTCGTATCTTCTCTTTTAATCTAGCATTGTACTAATTGTTTACATATTCAAATTCGTTCCCGCCGGCCTGGTTCAATTGACAGTCCAGTAAGCTTGATTTTAAACCAGTTTCCATCTCCACACCCCTTTTATCTGCAGCCGTGGCTGAGAAAAATTTCTGACCTGCTTTCTTTTAGGCAGGAAAGGAAAGAAAAGCTTAGCAGGTAATTATCGTGCTTTATTCTACCTCCTTGTTCTATAAGCTTCGTCCCTTCCATTGAGTGATCTTGAATACTCTTCTTGCGAAACGAATTCAACTAAGAAATCACCAAAATACAACACAAATTCGTGCTATTGGCTGTGCCCTCCCTGACGGGTCAATATGACGTAGATCTTGCAATGGTTTTGAAGCTACGATGTCTGTCATTTCAATAGGATGTTTTACCATTTGCACCCTTTGATCCTCCTTGCGTCTGTAGTGCCTGAGAAGTTATCGAAAACGAGAATAAGAGGGACAAATAAAATTATCAAGGAGATTAACTGTGATTAGCTATTTGAATTGGAAATTGATGTGAAAATATCCAAAGACTTCAATGATTAACTGTGGATTAGCTATTTGAATTAGAAATTGACGTGAAAGTATCCAAAGACTTTAATGATGGATTAGCTATTTGAATTAGCAATTGATGTGAAAGTATCCAAAGACTTTAATGATTAACTGTGGAATGATCTAATCATCATCCTTCATTTGTTTCATTCCTAATAGATTATCATTGTCTCTATTGCCATCTACTAATTTCAGTACCCCAGTCATCCGCCATGGTGGGGTTACACTACCAAGTCAATGGGACGTATATCAAGCAAGTTCGACGCGTGGAGATTAGTATTTTTAAGATATCAATTACTATTATCATATGTAATGTAGAACTGAAGTAATAAACTTTCGGGATATAATAAAACTTTGAAATTTACAGATAATGTTTTTTATAAGTATTTTAAGAATTTTTGTTTTATTTTTGATGAATATAAATTGGGAGTGTGTAGAGAAGAATAGAAAAGGAAGAAAATTATTTTTTAATTTATTTATGTAATTATCAATGTAATATCTATCATAAAATTAATATTTTTTCCGATAAGTGTGTTTGCAGAATTTGAAAGCATATTTCTTTAGATTAGTATATCCATAGAATTTAAAAAAATGCATCTCTTCATATCAATTTATTTATAGAATTTAAAAAATATGGATAAATTAATTGAATAATTTAGCAAGAGGTATCATGCATAACTAACTAATTAATTAATTTTAAAAATAAAAAAGTATTTATTTTATATAATACCTAGTGTCATAATATAAATTTTGGCATCCCCTCTAAATATTCCCATAAACATCCGAATCTATTTATTTTCACATTACAGCTTACAACGAAACCTCTTGCATTTTATTTTATAACATAAACTACCAACGATCTCAATCCCATGATGAGTAATTAACAAGTCTTTAGCACACCACAGGCCAACAATTAATCTGTTCGGGCTCTACCTTTACCATCCCGTGGATGCGTTCTTCGATCTATCTCTGAACGAATTAGAATGCTGGTGCTGTGTTCATCAACCCAGATAACATTATAATATAACGATTACGCTGTACTATATGTCATATGATTAGAACCGAACAGCAGCAAAGAGCCTCTAATTTGCTTAGCATATGAAAGGCAGTTGAAAAAATTTGAAAAGTTGGTATCGGGCTGATTAATTTATTTAGTAGCCATGCATGTCTGCAGCACATGAAGGCTACTTTGGCACTGTTGAAAACACAAAGGGTTGCAGGACGCTTGGATTCACTTTAGTTCATGAAACAAAAAAAAAAAGAGGTTGAAATAACAAGGGAAGGTGTGCAGCTGTGCATGTTGGCCTCCACTAGCTATGGCTGCTTTTGATATTGCTAGCATTCTATAACCAGAACTAACTGCCAACTAAGAAAACTACCAAACAAACGAACTTGGAATATTCATTGTTCATGTAATGGTGTGGGTTTAAATATACGTAGTCCAATACAATGTGCATGCCATGATCCTAAGAAGCAACAGTAGCGTCTGCAACGAAGTCTTGGACATTTCTGCTTGAAAGCAGACCAATTTGCTTTTGGGAGAAGGGCTATTCACCCAACAAAATAAAATCTTGATTTGGGAAATGTGAACGCTTGAAAGTTTTGCTTTGGAGAAAAAATAACTTCTTTTCCCTTCTAAAGCAGTTCTGTTACGGGTTTTTGCTTTCCTGCTAGTTTTCTTTTCTTTCCGTTTAATGGATCAGCGTTATAAAATTCGTTTCGGCCAATAGATTATTTTGGTGATTCATAAAATTAAAATCATCAAATTAAATAGAAATTGATCCAATCAAACCCGATTTATTTAATAAAATAATTTATAGCATTATTAAAATTTTAAAAAATCTAATTTAATCTTTTCATAATAATTTTATTTTTATTTATTTTAAAAAAATCTTGGAATAATATCATTGTATTTACACAAGCATAAAAGATTAGAAATCTTATCCACTAAATGCGTAATCGAATTGATAGAAGAGTAAAATGCAAGCATTAATTAAACTTTCGTAACCCACCATTTTGGACTCAACCGTACCATTGTATTTTAAACCGTGGTTCAAAATTAAAGCTGTTTTTTTATTCAAACCGCAGTTTGAAACACCGCATCGCCAAGCCATCCCTTAGTGGCTGCGTCAAGTTGTTCTCGTTTGATTCTTCGTGATTAAGCTAACCTATCCTAACCTAAGCTAACCTATCCTTTCTCCCTGACCCACACCCAGTTCTCCACAGGAAATTCAAAAGGCAGACCAAAGTAAATAAAAGCACTCCCACCACCACGGCACCTTCTATAAAGCTGGGTCTACATGAAAATAAATACATGCCCTCTGGACGAAAATGCCCTAGCGCTTCCAAAATCCTTACTTCATGTGGGCCCCCAGTGTCTGTTCCCTTGGTGCATAAATAGCCATCCCCAGCACTTCATCCTTCCCTTTTCCCTTCCTTTCCTCCCTCGCGGCTAAATTTGAAAAACCTGTTTCATTAATTTACTGTCGGTTCACCCATCATGTTCTTTGCCCAGGAAGCGGTCCAGCTCGAGCACCCGGCTCATGGCCCCGGGTTCACGGCCAATGAGATTCAAGAACTCTTATCTCTCCTCCAATCCCCCTCTCCTACCGAGAACTCCGGTTCAAGGGGATCGAACCAGGCGGTTTACTCAATCGATGAGAGGAAGCGCAGGCGCATGGTATCGAACCGAGAGTCAGCCAGAAGGTCCCGTTGGAGAAAGAAGAAGCATTTAGAGGACCTCACACAACAGTTAAACCGGTTGAAAATCCAAAACCGGGAGCTCCAGAACCGGTTAGGTTCCATTATAAACCAGTCTCACGTATTATGGAGAGAGAATGGCCGCTTAATGTCTGAATCTGTGGCTCTCGAGGCCAGACTTTCGGATTTACGCCTCGTTTTAGCTGCAATGAACGCCATGCAACAAGCACAATAATCTGGTCTTTATTAAAGCTTAAACCTTAACCAAGATAATTAGGCCTAATAAAGCTCTAATAAACTCGTGAAAATATTAGAGCCCTGTTCCCTCGTCCCTCCCTCTCCAAGTGCAGGTGGGTGTTAACTAGCTTAATGTGGCTGTTCTTGAGATTTTGTTGGAGACAAAGCACACGTTGTATACCATGTGAAGATCTGAGGCCCGCCTTTTGGTCTTGTCCAGGACTTCCTTTTTAGCAGGATAGCCTTTTTCTTTTCGTCTCCCTCCCTTTCTTTAAGCTTTTTTAGCTATGTGTTTGGCTCGTGATGTTAGGTCCAGTAGACCGTGCTCCAGCTTCATGAAATGGTAGCATTACTATCATATTCAACTAGGGCATGACTTGTGTAAATAGATCTCTTTTGGAAACCACTCATATGGATTGAGATGTTTTATCTGAAATCTTTAATGTATAATTACTGTACGAAATAGTTAATAATTCCTTTTCTAAACCTAATCCAACAACGAAAAAAGTTCGATAAATATATTTACACCACGTTTTTAAACAATAGAAACCATTAGCTTTTGCCAAAGAGAAAAACAATTGAAGAATTATGTGCATGATCAGTGGGATGCTAACTTTGTTTGGACCTCCAATGCTAATCAACATTTTCATTGAAGTGACAGGAATGCTCTTATATAACATTTTCATTGCGGTTTCCTACTGTTATTCCACGTATAATTGACCTCCAGATGCGAGACTATTAATCAAGAGTTATTAAACTCGGGTATGCATGGGTTAATTTGGATTCACCAGCATCAAAACAAAAAAATTATTGTTTTAATACTTTTCTTTGTAAAAAAGTTAAAACAATAATGTTTTATAATTTTTTTTTAACTCAAACTGTATTTTAAATGGATAACCAGATCAAAATTAACCTATTAGAATCTATCGAATAGACTGAATCAATTTTCATTCAATTTAATTTAATACTAAACTTTGTACCCTTCTAATTATATCAGATTTAATAATACTCTATTATTACTTTCTATTTATCAAAATTTCACTCTTAAACAAAAAAAAGGAAAAAATGATGCTTACTTGTAAACTTGATGAAGACTAAATTAGAGTTAAAATACTCTATTATAGGGTTTTTACTAATTATTAAATGGATACGTTAGTTGCAAGTGAATTTCAATAGCAAAATTGGATGGAAGCTTATAGAAAAAACATACTGATGTCTTTCTATCTTTGAAGGGTTGCCATTCCACACGAGGAAACAATAAAAAGGACATATATTTCGATGATTGCGTGTAAGGTACTGTGTGAGGATTTGCCTTTTGGTCATATGGTAAGGTAAATTATGGTAATTGTTTTAAAATACTATATAGTTTTAATCAAGTTTAAACTTTATTGTTTCTATTTTTTTAATTAGATAAATAATGTGCTTCAGCATAATGTAATAATGAATTTGAACAAATCACAAGTCTAGATAGTTTTTCGAAGCTAGTATAAATTAAAACATTCTTAATATTCTACCCAATAATTTATTTATTTTTAATTCTTTTCGTTCGTAAAATATCAAACTTCTACGAAGGGAGACATTTATGTCTATCCACCTAATTTGTTAGCGTTTGTTGGTATATTAGAACTTGTTTTGTGCTTTAAAAAAAAATATTAAATTAGTATTTTTAAATTTTTGAATAATTTTAATAATTTAATATAAAAATATTATTTTAATTCATCTTCAATTAAAAAAATCCAAAACTTACACTTTAAATATATAGTAAAAAATAGAAAAGACTTGATTGATGGATAATGTACCGATATTAATCGATTACACCAAAAGAAACCGATCATTTGGCACCATTCATCGTGACTTCACTATATCAGAGGCTTCGAAAGTAAAAGAAAAGGTGTTCTTAACCCTTTAAATATTACAGTATACAAAGTTAGTGTTAAATTAGCTGACGAGAAAACGTGTTCTACTAAAAATGAAAAGGAACTTCATCGTGCAGGGTCTTGGAAAAGTTGTATTCTCCTTTCATCAACCGAACTTTAGAACACAAATGGAGAAGATAAAGTGATCATATCACAACGTAACTTTAGCTCCCCTCATCCCTCTCTTTGTAAATATTACTTTCATTATCAAAGTTATTAAAATCAATTCAGTTTAAGCTAAGACTACTTGGACAATGGTCAAAAACCAACTTAACAATTGATTCTAAAAGTAAATAAGATGTATTTATCAATTATATTTTATAAAATAACTACCATCCCATTTAATAAAAAATATTAAGCATGAAATGAAGATTATGAGATGTCTCAGATATACATAAAAAAAAACTTAAAAAAATTTATTTATAATTTTATAATAAGATCAAGTTTTTATTTATCTTAAATCGACTCTGATTCAGTTTGGTAATAATTTTATCTCAAATCTAAATTATTAATTGAATGAGTTAATGTATCAAGATAGAAGAAGGACGTGGTTTAATTTGTATATATATTTAAAAAAATATAAATCTAGATTTTGAATTAATTTTAATAACACCCTGGATCAAGCCCCGTTTTAATGACATTGTTCATGAGGACGTAAGATGTGGTGAATCATCCACCATAGCTCTAGGCAATCGAAATGAAGGGTGCTGCTAGGCTACTAGCTAAAGCACGCAGCAATTGCTGTGTGGCTCGTTTAAAAGGCAAGGTACAATATGATTCTAATTAATTCGATGCATGTGTTCGAAAAAAGAAAAGTATTAGATTCCAAATTCCTACGTTCCATGAGAACGATTCATTACGTTACAAGTGACACACCACAAGCCACTAACTTAATTATCTAAAAAAATAATGAAAGCACATATCATATATATTGACTGAGGATGATTCATTACGTTACAAGGGACACACCACAAGCCACTAACTTAGTTATCTAAAAAAATAATGAAAGCACATATCATATATATTGACCAAGCTTTTATTAAAGAATGTGTTTTGGTATAATTAACTTTTGAATTATATGTGTATATATTGAGCCATAATTTAAAAGTTTTTTTCATAAATAGATTATGAGAAGTCCAATAAAAATGATTCAAAGTAATTTTTTAAAGAATGAATGTGGTGATAGTTATAATTCATAAATTACCATTTTTAACTTTTGTTTACAATAAAAATTTCGACTGAAGTATATATATAACAAATTAACTCTTGATTAATTAAGTCAAAAGTTATTTCTAATTAAATATACCTGTAAAAAAAACAAAAACTTAAACCAACTTATAAAATTTATATGAAACATATAATCTAAATCATGTAATAATTAATGACTCCTGCAACATCCCCTTTTTATACTAAATTAACCATTCTTCAATGGAGATTTTCCAAGCTAAAAATCATCACGGTGAATAGCCTTTAACCTTCCTTAATTTTGGCCTGCATCATCCCCTTCATATAATAAAACATTCTACGTGTGAGATTTTCCAAGCTAAAAATCATCACCATGAAAAGCCTGCGACCTTGCTTTTAATCAGTGGCAGGAATATAAATGCCTGCAAGGATCTGTAGCATTATATAGCAAGAGAGTCTCAACAGGGCAGGATGGGCCGGGCTGTAAATAAATAAGGGGAATATTAGCATGATTTTGTTAGTAATCAAGGGAATATATTAAATTTCTGAACTTGGAATTTTAATCGACTCAATTAATATCATAATATTGTCAGACTTATAAACATTTAAACATTAATATAGAGGGACACGTTTCTTTGTTCTTTCTATTTTAAAATAATAATAATTTTTTCTAAAACTACAATAAAAACATAGAAATAGATTTATTCAATTTCTATCCCTTATATTAAAAATATTTATGTTTCTTTTATATATTATTTTTATTATGTTACTACACTAACCAAATACAACCTAACTTGTCTTTTTAAATAGTAATATGGATCTTCTCGTACCCCGCTTTTGTTTGTAAGATGGATCTTTGCCTGCCAATTAAGTTGTTTCCTGATTTGAGATGATTCATTCCTCAAAAAACAATGGATAAAAAATCCATCCTTCCTGCAAACTGAGTCAATGCATCATATTGTGCTCCTGAGAACTTTATTAATGCATTTGCAATGAATACATGCATGCCGTCAAAAAGTGTCTCACAAAAATGGGCCCTTCTTGTTCTAGGTGCAGGGAAGGGGTTTGGATCATAAGATTTGTAGTCCCCATGAAATCATCAAAGCAAGTGTCATTGTGGATAAAAAAGACATTGAAAAAAGCAAATTTGATTATACAGATCAAGTACTGATCCCAACTGCTCATAGAAAAAACTGAAAAAAGATGAAGGTTACGTTTTTCTTAGCCTGGCCAATCATGAGATCAATCTTTGGCATACGTGTGGTCCCATGGTTGATTCCTATTTACTTGCGATTGTTCACTCGAGTTCAAAGCAAAAAAAAAAAAAATGACTTGTCACAGGTATCTTGTCTCCCTCCTGCCTCTTTCTTCTCTTGCAAGGTTCCTCGAGCTGCAAAGAGGGGGGAGGGGTGATTAGTGATCATCGTTGAATTTCTAATTTAAAGGGCTACAAAGCATCTTCTTCTTTTCTTAACAACCTTGTTGAACTTCATCGATCACTGATTTAAAAGGGCTACAGAGCTTGCTGAAATTCCTTTTGACGAGAATCATGGCATCCAGTCAGGAATGGACTGCCCGAAAGGAGAAATTAAAAGAGAAGGGGGAGAGGGGGCTCGAGGGATCAGAACTAGTGTAGGATCTGTCATGTCATGTGACTCATTTCCTATTGTTTTCCTATGGATATCGGCAACCTTTTTCCCTATTTAAGATATTCCGTGAAGACTTGGATGAGTTGAAGATGTGGTAATCAAACAATAAAGAAGACGAAACAAAATGGCAAAAGGTTCTTGCTTTTTCCTTCGAGAGGCTCTCCAAGATCGATCGATTTTGGTAGCAAAAAGAATACTACGTGCTCGATCCATCTAGTATTTTGGAATAGTTTTTCAAATGTATATATCAACTATTCATGGAGCCATTCCAATTGACAATGGATCCTATATATAAAAACTAATTTAGGATTCATATTGTTTCACATACTATATTTAATTTAAGTGCGAGAGATTATTCTGCCTCCTTCGGACCAAATATATTTACTATTTAAATGGTAAAATCATTGATGATAATTTTACCCAAACTCTATAGATATTAATTGAAACTCTATAAATATTATCAAACTCAATTAAGATCCAAACTCAATTTATATATGTTAAAATATATGCTATTTTTATATTGAATAATAATTATTACTCCTATAAAATTGATATTCAAGAGCCAATAAGCGGGTATGAATATCTCATTTTTGTATTTCATAAGTAATCTGCTGGATATAAATATAATAGAGATCGATCCATTCCATCCTAGGTAAAAGGGCCTTTATATATGGGCTCACATAACATGGAATTCATAAGAAGCTCCATTA